GCCGTTGCCGGCGACTCACGACAGCCCAGCTCCAGGTTGAGCTGTTGTTCAGCATCTTAGCTGTAGAAGGCAGTGTCACTGGCCCTCATATATGGGATCCGAACCGGGGCCCTCTGGCATCCCAAGCCAGCTCTTAACCAACGCGCCACTCGGCCGGCCCTCTAGGAAGTTATTGATAATATATAATAGAAACGTCAAGATCACTTGTCAAAGAAAGACTGAGATTTTGATTATAGCTTAGACTTTAATTGATTACCTCTTAAGGCTGAAACCAATTTCCATACCAACCGCCCAAATTTTTCAGCTCCAGAGTTAAAGCAGTTGTGGATAAAGCCTCAAATGGGGCTTTGAGCGTCCTTCTTTACATAAGGATGCAGTCTTGACTGTTTCTTAAATTAGCAGTTCTCACAAATGTTAGGTTTCAAAACTTATTTGTTTTGCATTTATATTATTTGTATGTGTTGTGTTTCTATAGATTTATTTTGTACAATGACAAAAGTTGCCATAATGAAGTTAGGGGCTTCTGGTTTGACATTCGCTGTTTTGGGCAGGTAATGTGTAAAAGCTGACATAGAAATTTCATATTCCTATGTGGTCATAGATAGCACTGGCCAATCCATAGGTGTTTCTCTTATACTGACCATGTGCCAAGAACTCAGCCAGGGAAGAGGAAGGCTTACACATAATCAGAGCCACCTCGCCAAGCCACATCATTTACCAGGTGTAGAAGCAAAGGGGATTTAATGTTTGCCTTCTATAAATACAAAAAATAGAATGCAGATTCACAAATGTCTCAATGTACAGTATCCTAAATGACTAACAGCATGACTTCCTGAGTGTGCTACCAAATTACCTTTCCTCTCCTCTCCTCTAACACATGGTTATAACTGTTCCTTTACATTAGGAAAACAAGAGAAAGTAAAATGTTTTAGCATATTCTGATGGGTTGCTTAAAACAAACATATAGAAAAGTCTATTCTTGCAAACAAGAACAACTTGGATATTCAATCTTCTTGAAGAAGGTGGTAACTTATACTAAGAAGCAAGTAATGTCTTCAAATGAAAACCTTAGACACAAACTACTTGGCTAGCCAGATACACTATGGGAAGCAATGGATTGATGTGGGAGTAATGGGGCATATAATATTGCTTGTTCAAGATGATGTTTTTGTAGTTGACTCCCACATCTTGCAAACATCTTTGCAAGAAACCACATTCAGAAACATCATATGGACATGGCTGAATGCCTCAAGTCTTGGTTAATTAATAACCTTCTTTTAAATTGGCTTATTGTTGGTCTCACAAGGCTTTCTGTTTTGGTTCTCTTTAGTCTCTTTAAAATTTCAAGGAAAAACTGAGTCTCAAAATGCCTATGAGCAAGAATAAGCTGATTTTATTACTTGGAATGATCTGTTTGGAACAAGGTAAATCTGCAACTCGTTCTCTTTCTGAAGGTAAGGTCCAAGCAAACTCTGTAATTAACCTTTATCTGAAGGAAGAACCTTTGCTAGCAATGGGCATCATAACTCCACTCCGTATTTCTTTGGGGAAACAGGAGAAGCAAATACATTTTGGAAATCTAATTGTTTCTCATGTAATTATTTTGGACTTTTCTCCTGAAATCAAAACTGAGTAAAACATTTATGGAATACAACTTGAACAAGTTGCACCAATGTGGAGAAAGCTGGGATTGCTTACTTGTTTGGACACATTATACAATCCTATCCTCTCTCATGGAATAAATTCTGGAAATCAGCATAAATTTGGAAGCATTAGTAATCTCCTGGAAAACTATCTTGCCGGGAAATATGAGGCATGTTCAGTGTAGTGTATTATAAATGGTCCTTTATTCCTGAAGCAACATAAGCTGAGAATGGTTCTTGGCAGGCTTCTCCACAGTCATTTTTGTGCCAGCCCTGAGAATCATCATGTTTTCTGTCTTTGCTACAATGAGTTCAAGAAATAGTAAGTTTTGTGTCTAAGGTATTTATGATTCATTCATCTGAAACAGTTAGAAAATAAGTTTTTGATCCAATGTTATGGCTGCACTGGGTTCAGAATCAAAAGGCTTAATGTTAAATCCATTAATTAGCTGTTGCATCTCTTTGATTCTTTGTTTTCTCATCTGTAAAGTGGGGATAATAGTGCTTGATTCACAGGCATAGAATGGGGGGTTATATGAGAAGTATTTAAAATAACTTTGTATATTTTAACATATTAATCTAAATAGCTGTGCTCTCAAGGATGTGTTCTCAAGAAAAACCATTTGTTCATCCATCCAACTTTTCTAAGTGCCTACTCTATGCTAGGAATTGTGCTAAACCTTGGAAATACAGAGATGAATAGGACATAGGTTTTTTTCCTCAAGTAGCTCATAATCCAATGAGGAAGACAGACAAATAATTTACTACCACAATATTGGCAAAAAACTATGAAAGGGGAGAAAAAGAGTACTACACAGTACAGAGGACAGACACTGTGAGGAAATCAAGGAAGGATTCTCAGTGAGATGCTCTCTAAGTCAAAGAATAAATATTAGATGAGTCAGCTAGGTAAAGAAGTGGGGTGATTACGAGGCAGGGCTTTCTAGGCTTTCCTAGAAAACATGTAGAGAAGAATGACCTGCAGTAGGGACAGAAGATGGACCATTCCAGAATTACGAGGCAGTTGTAAACACCTTTAATCTAACCCATCTCTTAGCTGAGAAGTCAAAGAAAACAAACAATAAAGACTGAGGATAAATAAGTAAATGCAACTTTTTCAGGGAGAAAGTCTTTTCCACAAAGCGTTCTTTGTTCCATTACTTGGCAACACTTCTATCCTAACACCAGTCTGGCTTGTGAATCAGGACACGGTCTTTTCTCCACTCCACTCTCCTTGAACAACCTGACACTTTCCACCCTCATCGAAAATTAAATCCAATATCTGACTGTGTGCCAGGCACCACAGACCATGGTCTCAGACTCAATCCCCTGGGTGAAGCAGAGGAGAAGATGTACACACAATTACAATCCAAGGCAGACTATCGCATATTCCATTCAATGAATTAATTGAGCGACTTCTATGCATCAGGAACTATGCTAGATATTATGGATATAGGTATTTCTAAAATTAAGTTCACAACTTTGAGGGGCCCACACTTTAGTTAGGATGAAAGGCACAGAAGTAACCATATGCATGTAATATATGTCACAGAAGTACAGGGTGCTGTGACAAGCCTGTAAGGGGCTAGATTGCTCAGAATCAAAAGGGGACTACACTCTTGCTAACTCAGTGGAGATCTAACTCTGAGGCCCTTAATCTTCATATCAGAAAAGTAGATCTTTTCATGATATGCATGTTCTATGTGACAAAAACTGAACAAGGCTTTGTAGTGCAAATCACAACAAATCCCACAATTCACTTAAAGCTGTTTTGTAATCTTTCTACAGATCCATGTCCTACAGTTTTTTCTTGCTCAGAAGAGTTTCCTGTATCCCTCAGTCTTAGGAGCTATCTAATCACTAAATTTTTGTCTTTTCTTTTTCCCAGCTCCCACTTGTGGGCAGAGTCGGGTGAAGGCACGGCCTTGGAATGACATTTTTAGTCGCATTGTTGGGGGAAACCAAGTGGAAAAGGGCTCTTACCCATGGCAAGTGAGTCTCAGAGAGCATTCTCTGGTGGGTGAACTAGGAGCTGTCTTGGGACTGGATCTCCCAGAATCACATGCTACTTTACTCATCAGTGCTCTCCATTCTGCCTACCTCATCACCAGACAGCGCCTGAGTGTATGTAAGGATTCAAGTCCCTCATGATGTGCACCAGTTGAGTTCCAGGGAAGGCATGTTTAGAATAGTTACAAAATTGGAAATACAACTTTTAACCCCTTAGACAAAAATCCCACTTCAAGAAGCTGAAAGACTTTTAAATTTGCAACTTAAAAAATAATTTTCTGATTCAATAAATATATTTAAAATATACTTATGTCATTATAGTTAAAGATGACCAGGGAAGTCCATGAGTCTACTTTATGTCTGAAGTGTAAGAGTTGTACCTATACCATAGGACCTCTCAGGGAATAATAAAAAGTACTGCCTTCTTAGTAGCTAATGTCCTCTGACTTCTGTCTCAATCTAATTTCCTGGTCCTCTCATGGCACAGAAATATCTTTGTGCCTCTGCCCCCAGCCTATGGTATTTACATATATCGTCTTTGAAAGTCTCCCAACTTTCTTCACCCTGAGAGCCATGTTGTATTCTTGCTGCTTAATTTTGCAAGAAGAAAAACAGCTCTTTATTTTTCCTTCTCTTGGCTCAGTCATATTAACTTTTAGGTGAGCAGATATTTGGTAATGGTTGGTTGACTGAGTTTGTGCTCAGTGGATTGATGAATGAATTAGTTGCTTACATGGTCAGTTGGTTGGCTAGTCAATGCAGAAGTCCATATTCAAATCACAGTCAGGGGTGATTCACTGACTTTCACTTATTTGCTCTTTATTCTATTCTTAGTCTCTTTTCTGTATTAGTTTTTCTAATGCTCGTTGAAAAATTTTTAGTGAAAAAGGTAACAATTCTAATAAATTGCTTCTTTTCTAATTCCAACAATGGAATTAAAAGTATTGACTTGTACCCTGTAAGTCATTTTAGAGTCAAATCAAATATCATTCATAGGATAAAACAAAGATAGAAAGTATATCACAGAGGTAGATTAAAAATAGGATTGAAGAAGTTGTAGAGGTCAAATAGTTAAGAGTATTAGGAAAATGTGGGTCCAGACTGTTTCTTGAAGAGGCTTGGAGGAATTGGAGCATGTGTTGAGAGACTCCCCACCTTGCCTTTCTCTCAAAACTGTTCATCTGGATTCTGCTATGTTATGCTTCTTTTTCTTTGTCTTCATTCACAGATATGGTTCATATTGTGAGACTGACAGGATGAGTCAACAGTACTATAAAAATAAATAAATACTAACATTTTTACTATCTACTGAAGCCTCATAGCCAATCATCTGAAACTAACTGCCTCTCCTGTGAAGCAGGGTCGGGCATGTTCAGGTTCCGGCACTGCTCCTTTTCTTCTGAGCTGTAGTGGGATGGGTTTTACTCCTTCACAGTCCATGAGTTCTGATATTTATGAAGACAATACCTGGGTCTATTTTTCAGAATATGCTCAGTCTCCAGGTTTTGGGGGATCCGCGGGCCTTAACTTGCTCTCATTTAAGGTCTTTGCAATTCAGGTGTCTCTGAAACGAAGGCAGAAGCATATCTGTGGTGGGACAATCATCTCTCCACAGTGGGTGATTACAGCTGCTCACTGCGTTGCAAACAGGTAGGGGAAGACCTAGCCCGTGGATAAAGGTATGATTACCCTACTTCTCCCTTGGAATCAGCAGCAATAACTCTTTAAAACAGGAACTGTGTGGTGTATGCTTCAGTGGGAGAACATCCTAATTGCATAACACAAATAGGGCTCAGTGATGCTGTCAGAGGGTGCTCGACTTGGTAGGAAACATACATTCCTTGCAGAAGTAGAACAGTTAACTATGAATGGAAGTTAAAAAATAATAATATCCAAGTAAGAAAAAAGTATCACAGAGATATATTTATGAAATTTCTCTCCTAGATTTCTTAAATTTCAGTGAAAACAAAATCATGCAGTTCATTGTGCATCCTAAGAAATGGATAAAAGAAACTAAAAGGAGGCCAGTAAAACATAAATAAGGCTCCCATATCTCCCTGGGAACTGACCCTGCCTCTATGAGCTTCAGTCTAACAACTTCCACCTTTTTATCCACACTTCGTGTGCTCCAAACGTTCTGTTGTCAGTGCTCTTGGTACTCACTAGGCTGCAATCGAGATCATGTCCCCATATTTGCCCTATTTCAAATCTGTAAACATCTGCTGGATTTTTACTTGGTGCTAAACACTAGTGGATACCAAAGATACAAAAATGAGTAAGACGTAATTCCTGTCCCCAGAGAGGTGAGTCTGAAGAACAGTCAACTGATAATTTCACTGCAATGTGGCAGGTAATTAGGCTAGAAAGTTGCTATGTATTAGGTTAGGTACCTAATATTGCCTAGAGCCAGGGAACTATACCAAGAGAAAATGATGCTATTCCCAATTTTTTATAAAATTATCTCTTGTGGGAATGAAGGGTCCCTAAAGATGGCAAGCTCAAAGCTCTTAATCCATCTCAATTCATCCCACCAAGTTCCTTTCAGATAACTGTGCTTCAGGAAGAAGGGGACTGGTCTTTCCAATGTCATGCCAGGTCTTTAAATTACAAACATAAAAAAGGTAAGAAGATCCCCACCTCCCATTGTTGTGATCAGTCAAGCTCTCTGGGACATCAGTTATGGTGCTATTATGTCTTTCACAATATACATTATGCGTTAGATTTCTGACATTAAAGCTGCATACTTAGCGGGAATCACAAATCATTCCCAAAGACTCTCACTGAGAGTGAGGCCAGGGCAACCACCTAGGGTCATTGAATATAGTCCATTATGGCTTTAGACTCCTGGTTTACAATGTATCTACATCTTCAGACATTTTACAAATAACATTGCAAAATATTCAATTTATTATATAATGGACTCCATGAGGCCACTCTTTACTACTCCCCCACTCAAATTGAGAACCTCTGCATTGTCACTAAGAGTTAGAATAATTCTCACTTTCTCTGTTCAGCAGCCTCATACCCCTCATCATTCATCTATATTATTTTAAAGAGGCCAGTTTATTAATCATTACAACTGTACTCAGAGGCTCGATGAAATCAATTCATTTTATGGCTTCCTCTTTATAGAAATATTGCATCAACTTTGAATGTTACGGCTGGAAAACATGACTTGAGCCATGTGGAGCCAGGAGAGCAAGCCCTCCCCATTGAAAGCATCATCGTACATCCATATTTCTCCACAAAGAAACCAATGGACTATGATATTGCTCTTTTGAAGATGGCTGGCACCTTCCATTTTGGTAAATATTTCAGGCTCATGCTGAATTATCTACCCCATGTTCTCCATAATTTCTGTTCCATGGCATATTCCCTACAGTGCATGTTATACCCAATGGTTTGGGGTCATTGACTTAGAGACAGGAATTCGGGTTGGAGGGTCCCCTACCTGAAACCATTTTTGCTTGTAGCTTTAGATACAGGATTAGGGCATAAAGCAGGGAGGTCTTTCTTTGTCTGACAAGTGATACGTGGAAATGCCAGGTAGAAGTATCACAACTCTTACAAGGTCTTGGGGGAACCACCTGGATGTCAACTGGTGAGTGGCTTCTGGTATCCTTTCCTCCATGCTCTGCCTTGCTTTTTTTAGGCCAGTTTGTGGGGCCCATGTGTCTTCCAGAGCCAGGGGAACGATTTAAGGCTGGATTGATTTGTACAACTGTAGGCTGGGGCCGCCTGACTGAAAGTAAGACTTTCTATGCCTCTACCCTTAATCAGATGTCAGGACTTTCTGGTGGGTAATCGGAAAATAGAACATTGAATCTGTTTTTAAAAAACGATAGTGTAAACATTCTTAAACATAGAGAATATCACACTGTACTTAGAAATTCAGGTCTTTCGAAAAGACACAAGCCTGAATGGGGCATCCTCATCAACTCAGAAAGAGTGAAGGAGGACCTGGCTCGGGCTCTCACCTCTGTGTTTTCTAGATGGCATCCTCCCACAAGTCTTGCAGGAAGTGAGTCTGCCCATTTTGACCCAGGAGGAGTGTGTGGCAGCTATGCTAAGTCTGAAGAAACCCATCAGTGGGCGGACCTTCCTGTGCACAGGCTTCCCAGACGGAGGGCGAGATGCGTGTCAGGTAGGAGGGCGCTTCCAGGCTGGCAAGTCCCAGGCAGGACTTCCCCCAGCTTTGTCATTAAGTGAGGGGCTGAAAGAAGGCTGTAGTTAAGACTAGGCTCTGGAAAGAGGGGTCAAAAGTGACAGGGGACGGTGAGTCAAAATAAAGGGACAGTTTACACAATCTGTCTATACCAGGGAGTGTGAATTTAGAGGAGGGCTTTCACTTTTTCCAAAACACCGAAAAACAGACAATGCAAATAATGAGCTCTGGGTTCCCCACCTCTGAAGAGTGGCTGGCTCTTTCCTACTTAGAGGTCTCCAGTTTATGTTAATGGGAACTTTACTTTCCCTCCATCCCTCTTGCTGATCAAGACCTGAGATCAGTTTTACTACTGGGCGAGACTTCTCCTTGTCTGTAGGATGGGGCAGGATAAAGATGAAAGGCTGGTGTTTGACGGAAGCCGAGGATGAGGAAGGAGGAGGTGGAACAATGAATGATAGGCTCCTATGTGAACTGTGCTTGCCTGTTGCCCCAGGTCCCTGAGTCCAAATTATTAGAAGTTAAGAAATGTCATTGATCCTAGTCTAGCATCTTTCCGAGGGGAAAGAGCGAGAACTGTGAGGCACAGGCGCTGACCATGATGGTAACTGAAGCTTTTTATATCCACAGGGAGATTCAGGAGGTTCCCTCATGTGCCGGAATAAGAAAGGGGGTTGGACTCTCGCCGGTGTGACTTCCTGGGGTTTGGGCTGTGGTCGAGGCTGGAGAAACAATGTGCAGAAAGATGATCAAGGATCCCCTGGGATATTCACAGATCTTAGCAAAATGCTTCCCTGGATCCACAAACACATCCACATTGGTAATAAAGCCAGCACATAAGGTCAAGAAGCTAGGGCCAGAGAGAACATCAGAGTGTAGGCGAGTCAGGACACTGAGTAGGCAGGCTCTGCTTCCATTCTTAGGGTAGCACATAAGGATTGTGATATTTACTATGTCTAAAACAAGAGTAAAACATGGTATGTGGTACAGCATAAAATATTCAATGAAACATGAATGTATCCTTCCTAGACTTTGTTAAATTTCCCTTTAATTGAAACTATCTCAGCTGATGATGTTTTCACCACTTACTTCTCAACTGTGCTAGCAAGATTCAGCAAGCTATAGCATAGATCAGTAGCTATCAACCCGGGGAAATTTTGCCACACATCCCCTCCTCCCACCCCCCCTGGAACACAATGTCTGGAGATATTTTTTGGCTGTCAAGACCTGGGGAGGAGGGTGCCACTAGCATCTAGTGGGTAGGGCCATGGATGCTGCTAAGCCTTCTACAATGCACAGGACAGCATGTAGGACAGCCCCCACAACAAAGAATGATGCAGCCCAAAATGTTAGTAATGCCACGCTTGAGAAGGCCTGGCATAGAGCCAGGTACCCTGTCTGAAAAGGCCTGAGTCTATGTACACCCTTCTACTAGACTGACCAGTGAGTTAACTGCAACTTCATTTCTGCCTCCAAATAAAGTTTGTTTTCTTAAATGGTGGCTTCCAGCCCCACTAGGCTTCTGTTCTTCCCCAAAGGGGTTAATTCAAATTAGTAAGAACGTGGATTTATTTTCAAGTGTATGGTTCAGTGGCAGGTATCTGAGGCCCTCAGTGCAACTTGTAGTATCCCAGCAATTCTTCTGTGGTTGTGGGTGAGTCATCTTCATCTTCAGCCTCCCTTCTCATATAAACAGAGACGGGTAAATCAGATGTCCTCTTTCTTGCTCTGTGTAGCTTCCAAGCTAATCATAGCCTGTTACTTAATTCACCCATTATGAACTTTATTGAAAGACAGTGAAATCATCTCCTTAAAACACCAAGGTTCTCTCCTGCTTTGTCAATTTATCCCTGCTTTTCTTTCCACAGATTAGATTTTTTTTTTTAGCTGCATACTGACTTAAAAATCTCTGCACTTTTGAGCCAGGAAGATTCTCACTTCTTGAAATGCCGTCCACAAAGCTTAAATCCTATCTGTCTTTTTCTTTCTCAGGGAAGCGGAGAAAGAGCTCAAAAGGTGGGTATTTCTCCAGCCTTCTCCCCCTGAAGCGTGAATTAACACCTAGCATTTCTGAATACTGGTTCCCTTTATAATCAAGTCTTCCTCTGCAAGAGCTGTCCTCACTCACTAGGTACAAAACCACCACTGGAGCGCCCGAGCCATTCCCTGCCAGTCAGAGCAGTCCCTCACCCAGCTGGAGCCCCCAAGTCCCTCCCATTTCATATCTTGTCAATCCAGAGCTCCATCTCAATTCAGCAAACATTTGCCAAATCCTTGCTTTAGATTACAGACTGAAGGGAGGAGGGTGAGGTGGTACAGATGAGGTCAATATGCTACACACCTTGTCCTGAAAGAGTCCTTACTTATCCAGGGAACTCTCCCTGGTGTTACACTGCAAGTCTGCAATGAATTCCCTGTGACTTTGGGAAGCTCCTTTCTACCTCAGTTTCCTCATCCATAAAGAAGAGTTTGGACTAGATGGTCTTTAAGGCATCTTTAGCTCAAATCTTCAGTGGTTCTTTGAGTAGAACTACCTACAGAGAGCAATGTAAAAACAGAGTACCCTGAGAGCTCAGGAGTGGGCAGCTACTTAAAGCATAAAAAAAATAAATAAATAAATAAAGACAGGGGAGGCACAGACATCTTTTAAGCTGAACCTTAAAGGACAAAGAATGAGTAGGATTTTGTGAGGTGGGAATGGGATACAGGTAAAGAAAGACAATCCAGCTCAAGGAATCATCCTTATCAAAGCAGAGATACTAAAGGATGGAGACAGGAAAACGTGGGTTGTAAGAGAGACCAGTAAGTCAGTCAAAGCAGCTGAAGTGTAGGATATGCGATGCGGTTTTAGGAGGGAGATAATTTGAGATCAAATTATGGAAATTTTGAATGTCACTCAAAAAAGTTTGGACTTTACTGAGTAATAGGAAGTTGATTAATTAAATAAGTAGATTAGAGCTATACTTTACTGGGATAAGAGCAACACATAGGGGCTAGATTGGAGGGGAAAACAATTCAAGGTGGATTTGAGGTTATGCATTAGTTCAAGATAAATAAATAAATAAATAAATAAATAAATAAATAAATAAATAAATAAATAAAAGCAAGCTTGACCTAGAGCAATGGCCAGAGAATGAAAAGGAGGGAGCAGAAACAAGAAGAATTGGACTTAGTAGTCACTTGGATGAAGGGAGGTGAAGGAGAGGGAGGAATCAAGGACGATACCTAAGTTTTGAGCATGAGACTAAGAAAGGGGCAGGTAAAAGTAACCAAACCAGAGGCAAAAGCACTTTTGCACACCCAAAGACATTTTGTTTGTAGCACGTTAAGTTTCAGGGGAGATATCTAGGAGATGGTTGAAATATCAGGACTGAAGTTGAGAAAAGTAGAGATGATAGTTGAACATGAAGATATGAGTGAAACTGGTCAGAGGGCTCTGTAGAGAGAAATGAAAACTAAAGACAGAACTTGGGAACTACCTGTATTTACAGAATGAAGTTATGGGATCAGAGAAAGGAGAAGAAATCATAGATGCTCAAGGTTAAGCAGGATCTAAAAGGAACAATAATGAATAAAGCATCCAGAAGCCAAGGCAGAAAAAGATTTCGTGAAAAAAGGAAGCGTACATAATGAAGAACAAGGCGGTTCCAGCATCTGTAGACTCCGGAGAGCCAGGGCTGTTGTGACTGGCCATCCCTGCCAGCCTGAGTCTTGTGGCTTTCTCTCCCTCCCAGCCTCATGCAGTGAGGAGGACTATGTGGCCAGCGAGTCTGAGGGGCAGCTGCACTTCCCAGAAAGCCCCGACCTATATTATGACAGCAAGCAGTGAGTAGCCCCCTCTGCCACTTCTACCCCGACTCCCACCTCTAGTCTGACTGTATCCATTCATTGGACTGTGACAGCCGCTTTCTGCCTAGAATAACACCCTCTCAATGTATGTGCCTGCAGACTGTGTGTCTGGACCCTGTTGGTACCAGAGGAAATGCATGTGTCACTCAGTTTTTCCCAGTTGGATGCAGAGTCTTGTCACCACAATTCCCTGTCCATGTATTCTTTAGAAGACAGACTAATTGGTGAGTGGATCTGCACATTGTCAGATGGACACCAGTGCTGGGCAGGCTTAGTGGGACCTGGTTACAACATGTCTGGCACTGAGGCATCTGTAAACATTTCCTGTCTCCAATTTTTGATACTCAGAAATGACAGTGGAAAAGAACTGAATCTGAGCCTGTGTGATGGCTGTAAGCCACAGTGCATTTCATCTGCTCCATCTGCTTCCCATGGAGCCAGGCTTCTTACACGCATTTGCCAGGCCTGGAGCCCATCAGGAGTATTACATAGACAAAACGCAGCACCTCTCAGGGCCTCCAGACAGCATGCTGCTTTTCTGAACATGACAACGGCATTGACCTGCCTCATTCAGCTAAGAAGGAAAATACCAATGGAGACTCATAAGTAGGAGACAAAGGTTATTTGTATCAGAAACAGAAATGGAGGGGAGTTTCTGTGGCTCTTAACTGGAGGTGATTTTGCCTCCCAGGAGACACGTGGCAACGTCTTAAAAGCTTTTATGTTTGTCATAGCTGGAGGGAGTGTGACTGGCATCTAGTGGATAGCTGCCAGGGATGCTGCAAGACATCCTACAATGTGCAGGACAGCCTGAACACAAAGAACATTCCAGTTCAAAATGTCAGTAGTGCCACGGTTAAGAAACCTGGTTTAGATAATACATTATCATGACAAGTTCAGGTCTCCTACGTTTTTAATGGGTGCTGTTTCTAGACTCTAAACAAAGAATCTTTTTATGTTGCAGGGAGATTCTGTGGAGAAAGCCTTGCTTCATCGGTTCTTGTTGGCGCCAACGCTTTAAAGCTGAAGTTCACCTCTGATGCCACAGATTATGCCGCTGGGTTTAATCTCACCTATAAAGCTCTTAAGCCAAACTACCTTCCCGGTAAAACCATTTAATTTTTATCACACGCCCCCCAGGCCTTTTGTAGAAGCTGAGGCCCCACAGGAATTAGGTGAGAGGCAGGCAGCTCCCTCCCAAGGGCCCTTTGGCTCCAGTGGAGAGGCGCACAGGCCAGTGAGATGCGGGGTGCAGGCACTCCTTCTGGGGTCCTGCGTACTGCACACCACGTGAACTGAGAGGACCTAATACTAGAGTCTGAAGATACAGCACACAGAGCTCTTTCTCCTTGTTGACTCTGACTGAAGATTCAGTTCATGCATCATCTGTGGGAGGCAGGAGGTTCAAAGGGGGCTTGTCTTTGTTGGGCCGATGCCATTGTGTGGCTGTCTTCCCTTGTGTTTCAGATTCAGGCTGCAGTTCCTTAACTGTCCTTTTTGAAGAAGGCCTCATACAGAGTCGTCACTATCCTGAAAGCTACAGTGACATGGCCGACTGTAACTGGGTTTTCCAAGCCCCCGAGCATTACCTAATTAAGGTACTGACTCTGGTTACTCTTACTTTGCTATGGCATCTCCATCAAACAGCTAACATAAGCACCACTAGGGCAGAGGTTTTTATCTGACATAGTCACTGCTGTATCCCTAGAACTTGGTACGTGGCACACAAGGCTCTCAATAAACACTTGCTGAAGAACAGGCCAGCCTATTTCCCCCTGTAATGACCCACACTTCCCACCAGATGGCAGTTGTGCGCTTTACTTTTTTGATGAAGCGCTGCCTTAATCCTTGTGCCTGGTAACTGTTCGGTCAGTCTCTAATTCCTTCTAGAAACAAGCATTTCTTCCTGATTAATTAAACTGCTAACACAAAACTTGGTAAGCAAGGGCTAAGAAAAGCCAGTGACAATAAGGCCCAAATCATCAAGCCTCGAACGCAGAGGGGACAGTGCAGGCAGGGGACCCAGTGCAGAACCAGTTCAGGGACTCTCAGATGTGACAGTCATAACATGTACCGGGAGGTGTGGTGCAAGGCAGGCAAGGCTGAGGTTAAGGTATGGAGAGCTTTGAATGTCAGGATACAGAGTTTACTCAGCATTCAATTACAAGTGTTTGTGGCCATTTGTTTGCCTGTTCATTAAACTCTAGTGAGCCATCTGCAGAGAGATGCCTCCAGATAGTTAGGGTGAGACAGCAGTCAGAGTGAGGTTGGAACTAGGCATTTATTTAGAAGTCTTTCTCTTCAAATAATAATTAAAAGCAAGACACTATATGAAGGAGAGAAAGTAGGGTAGAAAATAAAGGGGGAAGAGTAAGGGTGGATAAGGCTTCCAAGTTCTCCTATGTTCAAGAGGCAAAGAGAGATCCGAGACACAGGAGGAGAACCACTCTGGTGTGGTGTTATGACAGTTCAGAGAATGGAGTCTTTAATTTAAAAAACCAACAAAATAAACAAAAAGGTGTGGCCAATACTTTGGATTTCCCACACAAAGTTAGAGTTTAAAGAGGGGGAAGACTGAGCATTCGTTGTCCAGTCCCCACCTCATGACCCAATAAAAAGGGTGAATAATTGGATCGGACAATGGAGCAATAGAGAGGAGGTGGCGGGAGGGGTGTCTGAAATATAAGTTAAGTCAGATGTTAGGAATAGAAACAAGATCACATAGGCTTCATGAATAAGTGGGAGAAGACACAGAGGAAGCAAGCATAGATCATTTCTAAAGGCTTCTGAAATCCAAACAGAACCAAGGCAGAAATTTCAGGAGGACATAGAATTAAGAGAAGATACGTTACTAGTGATGGAGGATAAAAGTTTTAAGTATGAGTTTTTTTCTGGAAGGAGGATGAAGACAAATTAAGTTGAAAATCTCAACATGCCAAAGCTAGAAGTAATTTAAAAACATCTATTCAGTGAATGTACACGGAATGCTGTGCAATCAGTGAAATGATGCTCTCAAGCCCTGCCAGTGACAGCATCCTCCTGCAGGCCTCATCCAAGAGAGCAATTTGGAAATTGGTCTTGCAAGTCATAACTATGTGCACACCATTGACTCAGAGCAAAAACAGGCCTATTTCTAGAATATATCCAAGTGAGGGTGCAAGAAATGTTTGAATGAATCCTGCTTCTGACCCGGCTCCTCGTCCCATGCCTTTATTGACTGTTAACGACCATTTGCCTCCACTTTTGTCCTATCCCTCCCTGCTGTCCTGTGTCTTCGGCTGAGTGCTCAGGCTCCACTGAATCTCCGTCATCTGTGTGTTTGAAATATAAACTCCTACTTTATCAGACCTATCTCCTGCTGCTCTTCTCTTCAGACTCAACTGGCCAGGGCATTCAAACTGCTCAAATATTGTTCTTTGCTTTTTCTTAGCTCCTCCCAGGAGGCACCTAGGGAGCTCAAACATTTGCGTATTTTCCCACCCTTACATTCAGACTGTATTTGGTAGCTTAGATGTTTCAGCAGGTTTGGCAGCCTGTGGTATAGCATCTTTTCCTAAGTAACTTAACCCAATCAGGAATGCCCTACTAACTTTCCCATCTAACATCACACTCCGGACGGAGCAAGCTGACCAATCCAAATTTGTCTGCTTAATTAAAACCAGGTAATTCATTTCTATTACTTACTCTGGATGTAATGTTGAGTCTTCTCAGCTTTCCTTTCAGAATCTGGAAATAGAAGAAAGTGGAGACTGCACTTCCGACTATGTGACAGTGCACAGGGATGCAGAAAGGAAGAAGGAAATAGGTTTGTGTTCCCCTGGAGCTCGCCTTCTCTGGTTTGCATTTGGACCTAGTCCTTTTTGGGAATCCTTTTTGGGAATAAAAGGGATCTGGCTCAATGTTCCTTCATTCCCTGCACCACCTCCATCCCTCCCTATGTATGCTCTCATCACCATACCTTCTCCTACATCAGGGACAGAAAGAAAAATAAGGAGAATCAAAGGACCATTTGAACAGAAAATATGGAAGGCCCCGCATGAACTAGGGGTCAGAAAGGAAAAGTGCCATTGAAATATGCCCTGTGGCTACAACTAATTCCTTTAGCGGCATTCCCAGGAGGAGTGTTTGGGAGATTAAACAGAATTGAAATGTTGATGGAGTTATATACATATTAAAAAGAAGCAAACTGTCTTTCTATTTTGAGAACAAATTGTGATATCCACCAGAAAAGTTAATTTCCTAACAATTACCTGAAGGACAATTTTTTTCTTTTATCCAATATTACACCTATTTGCTGGGTCCTTGACCATGTCTTTCCTGGGCTGGGCTTGAACCAGCTCGGCTGTGTGGCTTTGGCGCCCCTGCCCCAGTACTGAGCTCCTCCGGTATAATGCTCATCAGCTTTCAGTCGGATGAAAATGTGACCTTCAGAGGCTTTCAGGCTACAGTCTCCTTCATTCATGAAAAAGGTAAGAAGGAAGAGGCACCAACTCCTTGGGTCCCAATTCTTATCCTCATAATGTGGTAATGGAGGACAGCCTTTAGAGCCTACATAGATCCAGTCGATTCTCATTATTTACATCAGTTCTGTTCTATAAAGTCTCCACGACCACTGAATTAGTGAACAGTGAACCCTGTCCCTAGTGGGGTACAGTGATAGGTGCCTATGAGCCTCTGGTTTTATGTATGTTTCTGCTGAAAGTCATCTTATGTAATATATATTGTTGATTCATTAACATTGCACTCACAGCCAACACCACTATAACTCATACCTGAACAAAGCCTATCTATCACAGGTATTTTCTCCACACAGACATCATAGCCTCCGTGTACTTGGGCACACTAGATGGTACTTCAGCACTATGTTTAGGGCCATTTTAAACAGCGAAGTCACCAACAAACAACACAAAAATGCAAACAAAACAAAACAAAAAAACAACCCAACCCGTGGCACTAAACAGACCATGGAAAGGATACCCGTTTATAGTAGGAAAGCTGAAAGGAGAAGGCAGAGCATCACCTTGTTAGGCCTCAGCAATGGCACACGTGCATCAGGTCACTCAAAGTTTTCACAAATGTCCATGAATGACCGTGCAAGCACCATGAGTACTAGTTTTGAGTTACAAATCAACGTTAGCGAGTAGGTGAATGTGCAAATTCAGAATCCGCAAGGAACGAGGGTCAACTGTATGTCTGAATCTTGGCCTATGCTTACTAGATGTATGATCTAAGAGTCTTCAGTCTTACAATGTGTGAATAATACATGCCTAGTGAGAATACAGTGAGGATTAAATCAGATAAGGTATGCTTGGCCATGAGCAAGTGTGCGACACCTAACAGGGGCTCTGAAATGTGAAATATCTTCACCAACTCCTAGTCCCTAGACGCCTGAACTACACAGCTTCCTTCCAAGCCCTCACACTCATGAGCAGTTTGTCCAAACTCCACAAAGCCAGTTATCGGCTTGGCTTCTCAAGTTGTTCATTCTTGTTAGGTGGTAAGCAGCTAGTGACGGCAAAGCCAGGTTATAGTTAAAATACCCATAGAGTCCAGTTGACCGAGATGTCCAAGAATTCTACTAAGTATTTTCTGATAAGTCTCAAGTACTGGCCTTGCTTGTGTGATCGGAGCAACTGTATTATGCTTACACCCAGATTTAAACATCTCCAGGCCAGAGGATGAGTCAGTGTTTCTGGATACATGGAATGTCCTACCTGATGAACTCAACGCTTCTGGTAAGCTGTTTTGGGGAATGCCAAGAGATTCACACAGAGTGTATCAGCTAGGGTTCAACCAGAGAGTCCCAAAAAGATATGTTGGAGTCCTAACCTCCAGTACCCCAGCATGTGACCTTATTTGCAGATTGTCTTTAGAGAGGTAATCAAGTTAAAATGAAGTCATTAGTATGAGCCCTAATCCAATATAACTGGTGTCCTCATAAAAGGGGAAATTTGGATGCAGAGAGAGGCACGCACAGAGGGAGAACATCATATGTACGTGAAGGGAGAGATTGGGGTGATGCATCCTCTACAAGACAAGAAACACCAAAGTCTGCCTGCAAACCACCAGAAGCTCGGGGAGAGGCATGGAACACAATCTCCCTCACAGCCCTCAGAAGGAATCAACCTACCAACTCCTTGACCTTGAACTTCCAGCCTCCAAAACTATGACACAATAAATGTCTGTTCTTCTGACACCCAGTTTGTGATATTTCGTTATGGCAGGTCTAACAAGCTAATACA